ATCAATCAATCAATCAATCAATCAATCAATCAATCAATCAATCAATCAATCATCAACCAATCAATTAATCGGTCAATCAACCAATCATCAATCAATCAATCAATCAACCAATGAATCAATCAAGCAATCAATCATTAAAAAAACAATCAATAAATGAATATTTATTTATTTTTTAATTTTTATTTTTTTTTTTGCTACCTATCAAAATCGACCTCCCCAAATTTTTGATTTTTTTGATTTTTTTTAATGCAGGCCGAGCGCGCGCCCCCGCCTGGGCGGGGCACGGCCGCGCGCAATAGGATTCTGCGGCCGCGGCCTAGGGTGCCACGTAGCCGCACAAAGTTGTATAAAAAGAAAGCAACCGCTAAGGGAACTATAATACTCAGTCACGTGTACTCACTTGATCTGTTATCATGACGATGCTTCATGCGTTACACATATCAGTGCAACCTCTCATGGGTTTCGGGGTTGCGTACGACACTCAAGTGTTCAAAACGAAATATCGTGAAGGGTCCCTCCTTCATGATATTGAACAGCTGAAGGATAAGTTGTTCAGCCCTTGCGGGACCCCTGCCTCTTAGGCAGTGGGTGACGATAAGCAAAGGGCGTAGGTCCGACTCAGAAGGGAAACCCTTTTGTGTTGGACCAGAGTCTGGGATGTCCTGGACAAGGACCTCTAATTTCAGGCTCAGGACCAACGTCCGACAAGGTTCAACTATGGTTGTGAGATTGACTCTCCCCGATTTCATCCGAGACTTCCAAGTTGTTCTCAGTTAAATCCTATGCAAACACTAACACATTAGCTTGAACTATTCTCACGAGGAGAAGAGTCAGACCCTTGTCATCAAACAAAACTAACTGACTTAGCAAAGTGACCGGATCAGTCAGGAGAAACTCATTTCTAGCCCCTTTTCAATGTCTTTGGCAAACAAGCCAAGCGATCGGATCAGTCAGGAAGACCTCATCTCCATCCCCATTTCAATGTCTTAGGCAAACAAGCAAAGCGACTGGATCAGTCAGGAGGACCCCATCTCCAGCCCCATTTCAATGTATTAGACAAACGAGCAAAGTGACCGGATCAGTCACAAGGACCTCATTTCTAGCCTCGTTTTAATGTCTTAGGCAAACGAGCAAAGCGACGAAATGAGTGAGGAGGACCTCATCTCCGGCCCCATTTAAATGTCTTAGGCAAACGAGCAAATCGACCGGATCAGTCAGGAGGACCTCATCTACGGGTTGTAATCCCGCCTGCTGCCTTCCTCTCCAAACATAGACTAGACTGAGAGGAAAAAGGAAAGAAGAAGAAAGGTCAGAAACTCGAGATACGAGGAGGGGCCGACTCAACTCACACGAGAGGGTCTTTGTGCCTTTAAATCCTGAGGGTCCCGCAATGGCGGCCAAAAACATAGCGATGAGAACCCATCCACGACCAAAATGCAGCGTAACAGCTCTCTGACAAGCCTCCAAGCTGCAGCAGTATTCCTGTTGCAAAGCCTGACCACCCCCTCGAAGCCTCAGTGCATCACCTCTGACTTATCTCCGGGTGCGTAACCTAGAAAGACTGCGTTCGAGTAGAGTACACCCCTTGTGTTTTACTCGAATGCAAGCGCAAACGTAGCAATATGCAGCAACAAGGTTCATCAACGTCAACCACTACATAGTGGCAGCAACACTTGCCTTCGCAGTAGCAAGTTCAAAGATTAGTAACACCAACAACGAGATTGAATCGCCGCAATAGTAAAAAACAAAGTGTTCGCAACGGAGAGTCACAAAAGTAGAGATCTGCTGAGAAACTCAATATCAGTTGGGGCATAGGAGCAGCAGTCCGTTGTTGTCGAAAATAGAAGCAGACCACTCTTCACGAATGCTACTGTAGTTTGAAGGTAAAAATCAGGTTTCCATCGAAGCAACACCGTACAACAACTCACGTCTCAGCAACACCGACACCAGTGTACAACAATAAAAGTGCACAACACAACTTGGTAGAAAAACACAAGTAGCGCAACACATAAAAGTCGTTAAAAAGAACAATGGCGCTATGGTTGAAAGGATTGTGGTAAGTAATTTGCTGCTCTAACCACAATAAAAAACCCGCCTTGTTTGTAGGAGGTGCTACCTAGGAACAGCAATGCCCAAAAGTAAGGCAGCTCCGCCCGATGACTTCGCAACAGTACCTAGTAGTGCTGCCCCAGAACCACTTCGATTTCTGGTCTAGCAGCTAAAACACCTATAAAGATTAAGGAAGAGTTTTAGATCTGTCAACCGTTGCTATGTCTGAACCTGGTGAGTGCCAGACGATCATGAACCATCACCCATTGAACCAAGAGGCCACCTTAAGTCTATCACTCCTCACCGTACAGAAGTTGCAGCAGGTTCGTTGCAGACCCCGCAACTTTGTGAGTACAATGCTCCTTCATCAGGTAAATATCCCCTCTTTCTTCTCAATTAGTCTTACTCTCCTTTTCGACCAGTGTCTGATGGTACTAATGGTCTGCGTAGCATGACGAACGTGTTCGCGGTGCTCCCCGTCCGCACGAATAGGTTTGTGAGAACGCGTTTTGGAAGGTCACGAACGTCGATCGCGGGGGCCAGTACCGGTCGCCGACGGTGGTCAGGGCGGGGGTTTTGGGGCCTGGGGGAGGGGAGGGGTGGCCCGCCAACTGAAGGGGAAGGGCAGGGGGGCTAAGGGGAGTCGATTTCGAATTCGAAGTCGAACTCTAACGCGCGTTCCCCCCGGCTGGAGCAGCAACGCACAGAGGAGGTGGTTGTGCAGGTGAGTGACCAGCCATAGCCCAGGACCAACCCCGTTCCCGCCCCCCCCGCCCCCAACCTGCCCCGCAGTGTATGTGTGTGTGCATGTCTATGTGTGTGTGTGTGTGTCTGTGTGTGTGTGTGTGAGAG